AATGTCCAGAGGACCAGATTTAACTTTTTTAGATTTTTCTACCTGGATTATTGAGCATGCATCAGGATATAAACTGTTGTTGGAATAAGGGGTGATGGACCCGATTTTGTTTCGGTTTTCATTTACAGATATTGCAATTTGTTCAGGCTGGAGCGCGAAGTGTGGTATTTATGTGTATACATTTTTCCCCCCCTTTTTTGACGAGGGCGGACGTGAAAAGATTTAACAAAGTAAAATCAGGTCCTCTGGACTGTTTTTGTTGAAATGTTTCATCTTTCATCCAAAAGGCTTCATCAGTCAAGAAGTCTTTTGGATGAAAGACGAAATGTTCAACACAAAGAAACCATCCAGTGGACCTGACTTAACTTTGTTGGATTTTTCTACCTGGATTATTGAGCATGAATTAAGATTTTTTTCTTCCTGGATTATTGAGCATGAATTAGGATATGTGAGGAGATTTTTTTTTATCTCTGCTCCCTTTCATTCATGATTTGATGCAGCTTGTGTTTAGAAGGTATATAAATATATTTTTTGAACACAAACACTTTAGTGTCGATGTGAGTGAACAAATCAGTGCATCAGACTTGAGCCAGTGGTGAAGAGGGGGGGGACGTTCTTGAATAAACACGTTCAGACTAAAATAAAATTAACAGTTTTTAAAGATGAATACCTCCACTTTTTTTTAACCTGACCAAGTCTCTTGAAAGCTTTATCCACAGCCACTGTGCTTAAATTTGCTATACAAAAAAAAACAGAAAATAAAAATAATAATAATATATGCACAAGCAATTTAGTCAAACAATAGACAGTTGAATTACAAACACCTACGTACCACATAGTTCAAGCAGTGGTTGTAGCTGGAGGAGTGGCTGGAGCTTTTCAACCTGGTTGAGCACAGCAGACAGTAGACTTGTTGTCTCCCTTCCCATGACACTATCATGAGCTGGTTTAATCCTGTAAATTAAAAATGCATGATTAAGATCAAAGGAACTCATAAGCAAATGTACTGAGTGAATCTATACATAAAGTAAATACTTGCCAACTTTAGAAGCATTTCCTCTTAGCGTCGTCTTGCTTGCAGACACGTGGGAAGGCTCTTTGTGTAGTTTCTTGAGTTCAGGTGTGGCAGAGTTCAGGTGGGGAGCAGAAGGCAAGTTTACCTCATGAAGATTTAGTGCAACAGCAGTATTTTCTAAGGATTTCTTCAGGTGTTCCATTTTAGCAGAAGCCTTTGTGTCCTTCTGGTTATGTGGTGGTTTAGCTAGTTGAGCCATAGCCATAGACGTAGCCTTAAACCAAGGTGCAACTAAGGCTTTGGAAGTCACTTTAGCAGGTTTAGAAATAGTTTCCATCTTGGAGCATGGTGCAGGCACTGTTGACCCTACTGCACAAGACTGTTCCTTGGATGCAGTTTCGCTTTTTTCCAGTGGTCTGGACACTGCTGTGGATTTTGCAGCTGATTTATGTGAGAAGGCTGAGCTAGAGGTTCTTGTTAAAGTAGAGGAGGTTGCAAATTTATGTGGACTTCCAGCAGAAACAAAAGGCAAGGCCTAGCTTTTTTAGGATAGGGCGTAATGGTTTATTACAGATTGGGTTTGATTTAGAGGTGGTTTCTGTCCCAGACATGTGTTCAACTGCCATACAGCCATCTTGGTCAATCTTCACAACCTTTCAAAGAAAAAAAAAATAATTATCTGGTGGAAAAATAATTCTGACATTACATATAGTAATTTAAGATTTTTTTTTTGCCAACAATTAATACTCTGATCTTGTTGAATACTTTGTTGTATGAAAGTTAAAGTTTCTCTTAGAGCAAAATCAATAAAAGGTCTGTTTGATAAAGCACCCCCTCAAAGACAAAATCAGGAGTAGCCAAACAAAAATCATTTAAATTAGTTAACTGTTGTAAGGAAAATTTATCAAATCGCAATATTTTATCATCCGTTTTCTCCTAACACCCCCCCCCCCCCCCCCCGTTTCAGCTGCTCCATTCTTCAGGGATTGCCACAGCAAGTTAGCTCGTAAGGATTTGGTCATTGTTTTACACCAGCTGCGCTTCATGATGCAGGCCACCAAGCTACCACAGCTCTGTGTGGAGCAGAGGGCTGCCATCTAGGACGCCCAGGAAAGCAGAAGGCAGAGGGGGTTGGGGGTGGAGTTAAGGGCCTTGCTCAAGGTCCTCATTTGCTTGCCTTACAGGATGCCTCACCTTTCCCCACCCACATTTTTTGTTGTGCAGGGAATTGAACCAGCGACTTTCCAATCACAGGCTTGCCTTCTCCAACTTCTCCTTTCTCCCCAATCAATTAATGTAAACAAGTTGTGCTATTATGAAGGCATATTAAATGAACATTAAATGGTTGAAGCAGAAACAATTACTATGCCCAGACTTAAAATTACGTTATTTTATTTTTCCCCATTTCTGCACCGGTTCAAACTGACAATCAGGAAACTGTTGTTTCAGTGCATTCAGTAATGCAATACAACATTATGTTCAGATCAGAACAAAATTAGCTGACCTTGTTGCTGTCTATCACAAAATTGACACGTTTTTCGAATGCAGCTGAGGCTTTTACAAGTTTAACAGAAGACAATGCCGACGTTGAAAGGGGCTTCCTCCCGCTGGTTTACTGAAGTAGGGCCTTTAGTGTGCGAATTGCTGTAAATATAAACTAAAGTCATGTAACAGTGTTTAGTAGAGAGCATTTTTGAGAAACAGTCAATTGTTTTCGTCCAGAAAAAAAAAAAAAGTTGCATGAGAAGTGAATTTTCATATTGATTTGACCACGGTTCCATTTGTGCTTTAGATAAGCTGCAAGAAAAATAAACTGTTTTGGTCGCCATGACCCAGGAATGGTTCTTTGCATCAATGTCAACACAGTTCAAGGTCAGAAAGGAACATACCTACACACACACACACACACACACCTGAATCTCCAGTTTTCTTCCCAGATTGCCCAATCCCCTGTTCATGAATGGGAGATTTGGCAATTTTCTCTGGCCAGCTGACGTGTTTTTTTTTCCCCTGTAATAAACCTTATTTTGCTTTTTGTAAGTCTGGTATTTAAATCATGAAGCTAACCACTTATTCTGCACTTCAAATTTACTTACCTAAAAATAACCTAAATATTAAAATCTTACCTGGTTGAAAGATTTTTTTTTTTTAATGTTATTGTACATAGTTTTGTTCACTTCAACAACCTAATGGATGAAAAAAAAAAAAAAAAAAAGAAAGGACATTTTAAAGCTGAGCTGAAGCCTTTGAGGCTTAGCAGCCATCGTCAACTATCCGATACCATTCTTGCCTTGGTGAAGAAATATTTTCTTGTATAAAATGTGCCGAAGTAAGTTTTATGCCAAACGTTGTCAGTGCTCCACAGGTTGGATGTGATGAGGAGGAGAAAGATACATTTTGGAAAAATCTGGATGAAGTGATGAGAGTATTTCCAGGGAGGAGAGAGAGTGGTGATTGGAGCAGATCTGAATAGACATGCTGGTGAAGGAAACAGAGGGATGAGGAAGTGACGAGTAAGTTTGGTGTCAAGGAAAGAAACCAGTGTTAGAGAAAATAAAATAATCATATACTCTTTTGTTAATGATAAAATGTTTAATGTTTAAATGCACTGTGAACTGAAGTTATGAGTTCAACGGATGCCTCCTGGGCCCTCCTGGACAAATTTGTCCGTTTGTTTCACAGCTCCTCGGTTAAAGGAAGTATCTGCAGAAAAACGCCTCATGAGAGAAATTGTCTTAGTAAGCAGATTGTCACAAGGTGTTCCATTGTTTCAAAAAAGCGATGCCTAAGTGTTTAAACTAAAAGGAAATAACATGTTATTGAAAGTAGCTGAAACTGTCTGATTTTAAATGTCAGAGAATAAATGTCCAGATGTTTTAAACCACAGAGGGAAACCTGTCAGCAAATTGATCTTTAGAACTGCTTAACAAACACTTTCTGATAAGATAACATCCTGAATGCTGACTGAAGAAACTGCTGTTTTCCTTTTTTTTTTTTTCATGTAATGATGTAATTACCCACAGAATGTTATAAATTGTATAACACCTCCTTTATGTTCAGATCTCCTTCTGGCTAGGGGTTCAAGTCTGCTTTAAGGACTCCTGGTGAGAACGGGTTCTCTCTTTGCTGCAAAGAAAAATAAATCTGCGCTTGATTTTAAAAAGGTGTCCCTGTCTTCAGCTGAATTTTAGACTTATACGCTCTTTAAAGTCTATTTTTTAAGCTTTTACACCAGGAAGGACAGTTGGTGGTGGATTTGGTCAAGAGAATGGAAATGGCTGTAGTCAACACCTATTTCCAAAACAGGGAGGAACACAGAGTGACCTATAAAAGTGGAGAAAGGAGTACGCAGGTTGACTTCATTCTGTGTAGAAGAGGAAACCTGAAGGAGATTGGGGACTAAGATTGTGGCAGGGGAGAGCATGGCCAGACCGCATTGGATGGTTGTGTGTAGAATGACTGTTGTTGTGGAAGAGAAAAATAGTAAAGTCAGAGAAGAAGACCAAATGATGGAAGATTAAGAAGGAAGAATGTTGTGAGAAATTCAGAGGCACTGTTAAAGGCTCTGGGTGGCAAGAAAGAGCTTCCAGACAACTGGGCTACTACAGCAACAGTAAATAGAGAGACAGGTAGGAAGGTACTTTGTGTATCATCTGGACAGAGAATGGATAAGGAAACCTGGTGGTGGAATAGTGAGGTGCAGGAAGTTATGCAAACAAAGAGGTTAGCCAAGAAGAAATGACCAAGAGGATTGAAGAGAGGAGACAGAAATATAAGGAGATGGGACGTAGAGTAAAGAGGGAGGTAGCTAAGGCAAAGCAGAAGGCATATGAGTTTTATGGGAGGCTGGACACTAAAGAAGGTGAGAAGGACTTGCACCGATTGGCGAGACAAGAGGGATCAGGCTGGAAAGGATATGCAGCAGGTTAGGCTTGTTAAAGATAGGAATGGTAATGTTGTAACAAGTGAGGACAGAGTTACGAGAAGATGGAAGGAGTACTTTGAGGAGCTAATGAATGAATGAAAAGAATGAAAGAAGAGTAGAGGTCATAGAAACTGTGGACCAGGAAGTGGGAAAGATTGAGGGTGAAGTCCAGAAAGCTCCAAAAAGAATAAAGAAGGGGAAGGCAGTAGGACCTGATGACATACCAGTAGAAGTTTGAAAATGTCTTTGAGAGATGGCAGTGAGTCCCCCCCACCCTTCTTTCGGCTGCTCCCTGCGTTAAGGTTGCCACAGCGAACTAAGTCGCAAGAAGACTTGGCAGTTATTTATTTATTTTTTTAACATCGAATGCCATTCCTGACACAACCAAGCCCATCAAGCTCCACAGCCCTCTGTGTGGAGCAGAGAGCTGCTATCCAAGACACCCGGTAGAGCAGATGGTGTGAGTGCTTTACCTACCCCACCCACATTTTTTGATGTTGTCGGTACCGGGCCTTGAACTGGCGATCTTCCGATCACAGGCCCACCTTCTCTAACCTCTGTGCCACCACTCCCCAATTTGTGGCAGTGAGGTTTTTGACTCAAATATTCAATGGCATATTTGAGGGTGAGAAAATGCCTGAGGAATGGAGAAGTGTGCTGGTGCCCATTTTTAAGAACAAGGGTGATGTACAGAGTTGTAGCAACTAGAGGGGACTTGAGTTGAGTCACCTAATGAAGTTCTGGGAGAGAATTGTGGAAGCTAGACTTGGACGAAAGGTGACCATTTGTGAGCAGCAGTATGATTTCATGTCAATAAAGTGCACCACAGATGCCATCTTCGCTTTGAGAATGCTGATGGAGAAGTACAGAGAGGGTCAGAAAGAACTCCATTGTGTCTTTAGAAAAAGCATATGACAGGGAGGAGGTGTGGTATTGCATGAGGAAATCTGGAGTGGCAGAGAAGTACATTAGACTAGTACCGGACATGTATGAGGACAGCAGGACACTGGTGAGATGTGCTGTAGGAGTGACAGATAGCTTCAAGGAGGAGGTGGGATTGTATCAAGGATCGGCTCTGAGCCCCTTCTTGTTTGCTCTAGTGATGGACTGACTAACAGATGAGGTCAGGCAAGAATCCCCATGGACCATTATGTTTGTAGATGACAATGTGGTCTGTGGTGAGAACAGGAAACAGGTGGGAGAGAACTTGGTATACACTTGAAAGAAGAGGAACGAAAGCCCCCAGTATACTCCCACGTATGTCCATACGCGGAGGTACACACGTATGTACGCGGAGGTACGAGCATGTCCAGCAAAGCTCAATTTTTACGACCGCGTACGCATACCATACCATTTTATTTATAGAGCACTTAAAACAGCGACAAGGCCAACCAAAGTGCTGTACAGACAGAACAACAGGTAACACACAAAGCAAAATACAAAATAAAGTAAATCAGAATATAGACAAAAAAACGATGCAGATAATGACGACAAACCAGTGTGGAGCATACAGGTTCAAAACACAGATCATCTAGTGTTGAAAGCTACTGAATAGTAGTGAGTTTTTAAACAGGACTTGAAAACCGAGAGGTCTGTCTGACAAGCAGAGGTAACTCATTCCAGAGTCGTGGTCCTGCTACAGAGAAGGCCCTGTCACCTCTGCACTTAAGACGAGTTCCTGGAACTGTGAGGAGTAATTGGTCCGCTGACCTCAGGGAACATGGTGGGACATACGGTTGTAGCAGATCAGGGGGGGGGGGGGGGGGGGGAACTGTTCAGTGATTTGTAGACATACAGTAGTATTTTGAACTGGATTCGAAAGTGAACCAGTAACCAGTGCAGTGAGGCCAAAACTGGTGTAATGTGCTCTCTTTTGCCTGTACTGGTTAAAAATCGGGCTGCTGCATTCTGGACAAGTTGTAGTCGTGCTATGGAGGTTTGACTGATACCAAACAGGAGTGAATTGCAGTAATCAAGCCTAGATGTAATGAATGCATGTATTACCATGTATTACCGTCTCCAGGTTATTTTTGGACAATATGGGCTTCAGTTTAGACAGCCGCCTCAGTTGGAAGAAACATGATTTAACAATCATGTTTACATGATTGTTAAGTTTCAGGGAAGGGTCCATTATCACGCCCAGATTAGTGACTCTTTGTTTTTCTGACAGGGTTAGAGCGGAGAGGTCAATGCAGTGGTTCGTGATTGTGTCATTGGGAGGGAACAACATGACTTCAGACTTCTTTTCATGGAAACTTAAGAAGTTTAAAGCCATCCAGTCCCTGATGTCAGCCAGGCAGTCGAGCAAATGTTGAATAGAGCATGTGCCATTGTGTCTTAGGGGGAAGTAAATTTGACAGTCATCGGCGTAGAAGTGGAAGGGCATGTTGGGTTTCCGGAAAATAGCACCAAGCGGCAGCAGGTATAAAAAGAATAGGAGGGGACCCAGGATGGACCCCTGCGGAAACCCCCATTTAAGCACTGCCGCTGCAGAACTTAAATCCTTGATGGAGACGCAAAAGGATCTGTCAGTGAGGTAAGATCTGAACCAATTGAGGGCTGACCCTGCGATGCCCACCCACTGCTCCAACCTAGCAATGAGGATCTCATGATCGATTGTGTCAAAGGCGGTTGTGAGGTCCAACAGGATAAGCAGCACAGAATCACCGGTATCGGTGGTTAAGAAAATGTCATTAAAGACATTCAGCAGGGCAGTTTCAGTGCTGTGGAGAGGTTTAAAGCCAGATTGGAATAGCTCCAAGATGGCGTGACCCTCCAAGAAGCACTTCAACTGGGACTCGACTATTTTCTCCAGTAGTTTAGAAACAAATGGGAGTTTGGAGACAGGCCGATAGTTGGAAACGACTGAGGGGTCAAGCTTTGGTTTTTTTCAAGAGAGGCTGGACAGCAGCGTGTTTATAGGATTTTGGCACCACGCCAGTGGATAAACTACTGTTTACTATATCAAGAATGGACGGACCTAGAGTTGGAAAAACCTCCTTTAGTAGTCGAGGGGGGACCACATCAAAAAGGGGGAACCAGACGGTTTCAAGCTGCACATGACCTGCTCTAGAGAAGATAGAGTGATGGGTTCAAAATGGTCAAATGGAGCTACAGATTGAGGTGGGATGGATGGATCATGAGTTGGAGGGGAATGAGAGCCATGCTAGGTCAAAGTAAACACACCAAGTAGGGGCAAACGGTTAACTTATTTACCATCTGTACATATATGAAAAGATGAAAATGTGTAGAGGTTTGGAGCAAGCTTAAATTTTTTTTAATTTTTAGACATAACAGAAGGGGTTTTGCTCAATCTGAGAGTTTGCCAAGATGGGTGCCGTTTGGCATATTGTTTTTATACTACTAGTGCTTAGCGCATTTCTAGTTAACGTTTTTCTTAGATCTTTACCGTTTTTCCCTTTACATTTTACACTTTGGTTGGATGTAAAGAACCTTGAATCCTTAAAGGAAAAGCAAGAGAGCAGAAGGCAATGAGAGCTCCAAAACCTGTAGCTCACTACTTTGAAGCACTTTCTGTTATGTTCTGTTCCGCTACACAGACGACTCCTTCAACTCATGCCTTCGTCAACACCGTGGGTATCGATTTCAAGGTCAAAACAGTCTTCAGCAATGACAAGGGGATCAAGTTTCAGATTTGTAACCTCCATTGGCTCCCTGTCACTCAGCACATCCATTTTAAGATTCTCCTCATCACAATCGGACCCCTCTACACCTGACCAACCTACTCCATCACCACACTCTTCCTTGTTCCCTCCGCTCCTCCGATGCAAACCTGCTGTCGCTCCCGTGTAGGAGCGAGCTCCGAACCTGGGGAGATGGAGCCTTCTCCATCACTGCCCCCACCCTCTGGAACTCACTGCCCCAACAGCTTCGTGCCTGCTCCAATCTCCCCACTCTTAAGAAAAAGCACAAAACCCACCCGTTTTAAATTGCTTTTAATATTTAAAAGTTGCCCTTATGCGTTTTTATGTTGTATTGCTGATTTTATATATTTATATTACCCTGTAAAGCGTCTTTGAGTACTTAGAAAAGCGTTAAATAAAAATGCATCATCATCATTAAATACAGACACTAATTAGACAGAATGAAGAACACCTGTGGTGATTAGGATCAGCTGTGCACAGAGCAGAACTTGAGGAAAAACAGGGGTGCAGGAAAAGCAGAACAGACATACTTGTCTCAGAACATGAGCTGGCAGGTCAAGGGTAAGCAACTGGTGGTACAGTACTAAGAAAACCAAAAGGCATTTAACATTGCAGCAATATTGTCAAATCAAAACACCAATTTAATCATTATTTTAAAAAATTAAATATTACAATATCTCACCTTGTTGAGGTCTTCCAGAGTAAACCATGTCACACATCAATTCATTGTTGCACTAAAAAGTAAATGAAGAAAAAGTGAGCCGTACGCCAGTGCGTTTAAAATTAAATCCAAACAAGCAAGACAGAAGACCATGAAACTAGACATGCAAACATCAAGCGAATACCAAGACAGCCAAATAACAGGAGGAACGCATACAAATTGAGTACTGAAGTGGAAACGCAGTGGACTATAAATACACATGCAGGTGATAAATTGTAACACACAGGTGAAACTAATAACAGCCAATCAAGGAGGCAGGAAGTCAATTAGCAACAGGTATAAAAAGTGGTAGTTTCAAAGTAAAGCAGAAGTAAACAAACAACATTTGGCTGCTAGGGTTGTTTTTATAATACTTACTGGTACTTACTTGTTCAGCATTTCTGCAAAAACATGGCCTTCCTTGACAACGTAATTTCCTCCGTTGTCATGACAACTCACTTTGCAACCTTAAATTAACAGTGAAAACAAGATTAAACTCGGATAACATGGAATATTAAATGAATTTAGACATACAATATGCACATCCATGAGACCAAAAAAAACATAAATTCTTGGCATAAAAAGACAATAACAGTGCGTTTAAAATGCATTAATAACCGCTTAGCTAATAACATGTTGCTAGCTGGTAGCAATATTTACTTTATAAAAGCGTCCCAAATGTTTCAAAAGTCCTGCTGTTCACTTGTGTATACGTATGATTGATTGTCCGTGAAACTTATGAGCTCTTTAGCAAAAAGTAAAGCTTATCTGCGGTTGTTTTATTTTTTGCTAACTTTACTGTATGTGCCATCCTGTTGCATGGATGAGTTCTCTTAACAAAGATGGCTTCCTTCACTCTCTCAACAATAATGTGCCATCCTTGCTTCTTTTTTCTGTTAGCAGTTAATTAAGTTAATTATAATGAACAAAAATAGCTATTCTTGCTATATATATATATATATATATATATATATATATATATATATGATCTTCTGCCAGTTGTTTGGAAAGGTGAGTGGCGACAAGTTGCAGCGTCTGTTCCGTTTTAACTTACAGCACTCGTTAACACTTGTTGTGTCTAAGTCCGTGTGTGTGATGGGAGGCTGCAAGCTTCTTACCAGTGTCCGAACCTTGAACCAGAACCAAAAACCTTGAAGGCCAAAAGAGGGAACCAAATTTAAGAACTTGTGCTGGAAAGTTACCAAACAGACCACACAGATAAGCGGAAAGCAAGGATGTGTATTCGCGTGCATCAATGTGAACCGTTGAAAAGGTGCTACATTCACGTGCACTCGGACATCCGAACTTTACGCACATAAACTCACCACTTCGGATTGTATTGGCGTTTAAATATGCCAGGCCACCACATTCGCACTCCTTCTCCAAAGAGATGCAAAATTACAAAAAGAAAAAAAAAAAAAAAGGAGGCAAAATCATCGCAAAGAGACGCAAAAGTCTCTTTGCCAATCCCCTTAGGCAGGAGGCTGCGGTCCATTCGGACCAGAACCTCCCGCCATAAGAACAGTTTCTTCCCGTCTGCTGTTGGACTCCTGAACACTCATAATGCTACCTCATAATTTCTGCTTTGGTCACATTACATCTGTATTATAATTGAATACTCCATCTGTACTGTTTTCTAAGCATTTTTATTGTTTTCTATTGTATGGGTGTACTATGGTTATGTTATGTTTTTAATTTTACTTTATTTACACAGGTCTTATGTCTTATGTAATGTTCTCATTTTTACTTAATTTTTACTTTATTTTTACTTTATTTTACTTTACTACTATTCGCACCTTATGTCGAAGCAAATTCCTAGTTTGTGAACCTCGTTCATTGACATGGCGATAATAAACTGATTCTGATTCAAAAGTCAACTGTTAACGGTAGATTAGCTCTGTCAGTGAGTTTTATAGGTACAGCCAATAATTTGGTTTCACAAAGAAAAGTGTCCAGTACAGGGGTCTGCAACTTGCGGCTCTGGAGCCACATGCAGCTATTTGGTCCCTCTGCAGCGGCTCTTTCAAGCTTTGACCAAAACTGACATAAAACTGAATTTTATTGGTTGTTAGAACAACAACTAAAAGGGCTAGTTTTAGCAGTTTTCCTGTCATTTATTTTGCAAATATGAATACTAGAAACATTATAGGAGTAAAACATACTCACTTTCACTTTACGCTTTATTTCTTCAAAGTAGGATACATCATTTTTCTACAATAAAAAAAAAAAATCACATAACAATGCATAGTTTATTGTTTTAGTTTTAGAAACTGGGCAAAAACTATATATATTTTTTCCTTCTTTACAAGAATCTCGTCTTTTATTTTGTCTTAAAATGTAAAAATCTCAATAAACGTTAAATATCATTAGATAGTTTTAGATTTATAAAATCACTGTCCAGAAAAGCGCCCACCAACAAACTTAAAGTGGTCCGTGGGCCACCAGTTGAGAATCCCAGTTGTAGCAGGTATTGGGGCTCCGGACACGTTTAATTTAGTGAACAAAGGGGCTGAAATGGCTCTTTTGATTGAAAGGTTGCAGACCCCTGGTCCAGTAGTTCATGAAATATTTAGCTAACTCTTAGTGGTTATTACTAAAACTTTAATTAATAAATAACATTTAAATTATATTTTCTAACACTACACAAGGGCAAGAACATAAATGCCTCACAACTTGACTGAACAGAGTTTGTCCCTAATTTTATGTTGCACATTTTAAACTGAGACAGCTGAAAATGTTACAGCAAATGATTTGTGGCATGTTTATCTCTAGACTAACTCAGCTGCAGACTCATAGAGAGTTCTTAACCCCAAGTCAAAACACACATTGCAAATTCAGAGCTTGAATAAAACATTTTAACTGTATCAAAGGCCCATGAAATAAACACATTTATTCTCAACAAGAAGCTAAATTGGCACCAAAAAAAAACTCTTTAAACTCTTACAAGCTTGAGTCAGGTCCTCTGGATGGATTCTTCTTTGTTGAAATGTTTCTTCTTTATCCAAGGCTTCTTCAGTCTGAGGAGCTGCAACAAACTCAGTCTTATAAATAGCACCATAGTGGATCGACCAGTTTGGTGTTGACAACTAGCTGTTCACATGCAAAAGGAGGACCATCAGCCTAACAATCGATCGTTAGAGCCCTAACAATTGGGCGTTAGCACCCTGATGGCTGCTTGCTATTCACAGCAGGCTGAGTGATGCAATAACAACATTGTAAGGGGGTGACAATTGAACACGGAGGCCTCTGCCCCTGTTTACTGATGGATGAGTTCTCTTAACAAAGATGGCTTCCTTCACTCCTCTCTCAAACCAACGTTCCCTTCTGTCAAGTATGTGCACATCTTCATCCCTGAAAGAGTGACCGCTGGCCTGCGGATGAATGTAGACCGTAGTCTGATCAACATCATCAGGCCAAGACTGCTGTTGCCAGTTTGTCAACAAGAAACTGGTTGGTGCACTATGAGAAGGTGCTATTTATATGACTGAGTTTGTTGCAGCTCCTCAGACTGAAGAAATATTTTGGATAAAAGATGAAACATTTTAACAAAGAAGAATCGGTCCAGAGGAGCTGACTTAACGTTGTTGGATTTATCTGCCTGGATTATTGAGCATGCAAAAACCTGATCTTGAAATAAAATGTGTTCTTCCTTTTTGTCACAACAAACTGAAAGAAGGGTAAACTTTCAAGTCTTTCCCAGTGTAGTAGAACCAGCCTCTTCAGATGAAGGCAGAGTGAGGTATGTTAGCAGGTAACAAATGTGACATGTTAGACTGTGAACTAACTAATAATTTATGCTGGAAATGAGATAATTACAGATGTGTTTGTAGTATATAACGTGACCTTGGCACAGCAAAAAGTGTTCTTAAATTTTGCTGACTGCTGCATTAAATTTAAATAAGTGCATTTGTTCCAGTGATAACCTGAAGCTTTGGCAAAATATGCTGTGATTACCATCAAATGGTAAAGTCTGAATAGCACCAACTTTTCATTAGATAAAAGCTTCAAAAGTGAATTTTTAGTTTTCATTTAAAAAATGAATGACATGGTAATAGATGACTGTAACCAGTTTGTTCACGTTCCTTTTGAATTTAAGTTACCACTTGGTTTCTTAGTCCCGATTCTGGGTCCTCTGGGGTTTTTTTTATTTTAAGAACATGTTCGAACAAAGAGTAAAGTGTGATGTAAGGCGTGACACTTTGAGTTAGAAGGTACCCCATTTTCCATTGTCTTGGTTTTTCAAATCAACACTTTTTCCATAAATGTGTTAATTTTAATGGCTGGGGAGTTTTTTGAAGAGTTCAGACATGTTAGTAGGAGACAAGTTAATGGACATCTGATCCTCCTTTACTCAGCTGCAGCAGCCTGGAAGAAATGGAGCTGTAAATTGTGGAAGCTGTCAGTTTCAGCCGATAAGAGACCTGCTGACTCACTCTGCTTGTGTGTGTGTGTTGACAGTGTAACGTTTCCTTTTTTCCAGAACCAGAGAAAGGAGATGTCTGTACCGTCTTCTTCATGCATAACAATATGACATGATGTGATTCTAGTTAGTCTTATTTGTTTGAGACATAAAGTAGGAGGAGTATGTATGTTTTATCTGTGTATGCATATTTATGACGGTATAAAAGCATATGCACAACAGAGCTGGGGCTTTGTTACTGGGGACATTTTGAGGTTCGTGGAACTTGTTGCTTTTAGGCTTGGCAACAGATTACCTCCTGCCGTTGGGTCCTTTATGTGGAGGACAGAATGTGACAAAAATAAATAAACACATAATAACGAAATGTATGTACCAACTGGGTCATGTAAATGTGGGGAGGTGACCCCCCCCCCACCCATCTGATTGCCCAAAAAAGTCCCCCTCAGGGGGAGTGAGGAAAACAGGGCCCTCTCTTTATTATTAGCTGCAAGAGAAAGAAATAAGATGCTCTTTCTTAATGCATTAATTAGTTTGGAGCAGTCGGACCGGGGAGTCCTCTTACCCTGGTTCTTAGGATAATCCTTATAGAATTTCCGCACAGGTAAAAGGCAAATCTCCTCTTCCCCAGGAGGGGGATACAGGCCTCCCCTAAGCAGAGCAGCTATTCCAAATTGGAAGGATTGGGGCTTTGGGCATACCCGGGCCAAGAGATAGGAGGATGGAACAATCCTGGTCTCGTCTTAACCAGTGAAGAGTTGGGTCCAATCTCGTCTCAGAGAGACCCAAGATAAATCCAAGACTCATCTGAGACCGGCGTGTTCCATCTCCTTCGGGTGCCCCCGCCCTCCGAGCTGCGTGCTGAAGTCCTTTCTGCTCTTCTCTTCCTCCGGCTTGCTTGAGCCCCGTTCTGCCTGATCAAGGGACTTTTATACACTTTTTCCCCCTCCCCCGAGGAGGTTCAAATGTCTCACTATACGCCTCAACCAATCACTCCTCTCATTGGGACATATGAGATCATGCTCAGAGGTGGCATTAGGCATTTACTTTTCAAAGTTTACTTTTTAATTTAATCAATTTGAAAGCGGTTAATGCTTTTCCTCCTATTACCAAATTAGCAGGGGAATTGCCTCATGCACTCTCGAGATTGGGACATATGAGAACATGCTCAGAGGTTGCATTAGGCGTTCACTTTTCAAAGTTTACTTTTTAATTTGATCAGCTTGAAAGCTGTTAATGTCCTTTCTTCATTACCAGGTCAACAGGGAGTCGTATAATTTATTCTCAATCTAGCTCTTCCTCTGCTTGAGATTGGGTTCAGGCCTTCCTTTGTTTTACACATTTTGTCAGCAATGAGTAGCTATTAAAAAGGATAGAAACAAACATCTAATAACGTCATGCAAACTGTTAACAAACTTTTAGGTACCATTTAGCAGCATTGGTTTGAATATAGTCTGATTTCAACTTATTATAACTGGCTTCTTCTGCCTGGATGCCAGTTTTCCAACAAGCCTCAGTCTAAGACATGCTGTAATTCAGTTCAAGGTGGTGCACCCACCATCTGCATTGGTCCAAAGACAAACTGTCCAAGATTAAAACTGACCTGGATCCTGCATGTAACCGCTGTAAACAAACTCCAGCTATGCTCGTACATACATTCTGGACTTGTCCAAAGCTGCGGGGCGATTGGCAATTTATTTTTGATACCTGCTCTGGGTTATGTGGAACAACTGTGCACTCGTCACCATTCATTTCATTGTTTGGGGTGGCCCTATATACGTCCATCAGCAAGTACAAGATGTGATTGCTGTTGGCACTCTTCACCAGGAAACTTATTTAATGCAGATTGAAAGAGCTGCATCCCCCGGCATTTGAACAATGTTCACCTAGAAAAGATTAGATATACTCTTAGCAACGGACTCTGGTGACTGTGTTGTCCTCCTGCTTTTAGATCTATCAGCTGCTTTTGACACCGTGGACCATAACATCTTACTTTGTCATTTGAAGAAATGGTGCAGCACTGGACTGGTTGAGGTCCTACTTAGCAGAGCGTACTTACTGTGTCTGCCTTAGTGACCATGTGTCCTCCTCTGCTCCTCTCTTGTGTGGGGTTCCACGGGAATCCAGTTCAAATATGTCTACAAATTGCTGAACAGTCCCCCCCCCCCCCCCCACTCTCTCGTGATTTGCTACAACCGTATGTCCCACCACGTTCTCTGAGGTCAGCGGACCAGTTACTTCTCACAGTTCCAGGAACTCGTCTTAAGCGCAGAGGTGACAGGGCCTTCTCTGTAGCAGGACCAAGCCTTTGGAACGAGTTACCTCTGCTTGTCAGACAGGCCCGATCCCTCTCGGTTTTCAAATCCCGTTTAAAAACCCACTACTATTCAGTAGTTTTCAACACCAGATGATCTTGTGTTTTGAACCTGTATGCTCCACACTGGTTAGTCATTATATTTATTATCTGAAACGTTTTTATGTCTATATTCTGATTTACTTCATTTTGTATATTGCTTTGTGTGTTGCCTGTTGTTCTGTCTGTACAGCACTTTGATTGGCCTTATCGCTGTTTTAAGTGCTCTATAAATAAAATGGTATGGTATAGGGCTCAATCTTAGGCCCCTTCCTCTTCATGCTGTACCTGCACCCTCTTGGCTCAATTTTTTTTAGAAAATATGGGATCTCCTTTCATTGTTACGCAAATTATAAGCAGATACAGTATAATGTCCCACTAAAGAAAAAGGACACTTAACTTTCTGGTCCCTCTGTTTTCATGTCTGGAGGACATAAAAGCCTGGATGGCTGTGAAATTCTTAGGGAAAGACTGAGGTGATGGTCTTTGGAAGCTCCACTAAGACTCCCAATATAGATGTTGGCTCCTTGGCCCAGTACATCAGGCCAACTGTTACAAACTTGGGGGTCAAAGTCGATGCTGGACTAAAATTAGAAAACCATGTCAGAGCTTTTTTTTTTCCCACCTGAGGCAGCTGGCTTAAGCTGATTCTTTCTCAGCGACATTTTGAAACAGTAGTTCACGTTTTTGTGAGCACTTGACTGGACTACTGTAAAGCACTCTTTACAGGAATCAGTGATTCATGTATCCGTCAGCTTCAGATGGTACAGAATGCTGCTGCATGGTTTTTAACTGGCACATGAAAGTCTGACCACATTTCTCCTATTTAAGCCTCCCTGCACTGGCTGCCCTTACATTCCAGGATTAATTTAAAAATTCTTTGATTTGCTTTTAAAGCTCCTAATGGACTTGCCCCACCCTATCTGTCAGAGTTGCTACATCCGTACACACTCTCTCGATCCCTCAGGTCATGTGATCAGTCCTGACTGTTTAGAAGACAAAGCGTAAGCTCAGAGGAGACCGTGCTTTTGCTGTGGCAGCTCCTTAACTATAGAACGACCTTCCCTTGAACATCACAGACCTCTTCCCTGTCTGTTTTTAAAACCTTTCTTAAAACCATCTCTTCTCTGACCTTTCACACCATCTGAAATGTTGACTTGTAATTATTTTAATCGCTTTTTATTATCTGATTGCATGATTGTTTTATGGTGTGTACTGTATGTGTACAACTTTTATTATGTGACTTTTATTTTAATCATTTTAATTATCTGACTGTATGATTGTTTTGTTGAGTGCACAGCACTTTGGTCTTGTACGTATTTAAAGTGCTCTATAAATAAAGCTGGTATGGTATACTGTTACAAATAAAGTCCAGTTGTTTTTGTATTGAACGTTTTTTTGAATTCATCATGTCCTGGATGACTGAGAATCTTCACCAGCATATACTCGACTAGATACTAGATATACTACTATACACAAGGTTCTGCTGAGATATTTTGGGACACTTGGCAGCGTCTTATGTTGAGGATATGTCTACAGCAGGGCTGTTCAACTGGCAGCCTGCGGGCCGGCTCACAGGTGACTTCAATCTGGCCCACTTCATAAAAAACAAATTTCTGGGGTTCTGGATTTGGGTTCTGTTTACTGCATTTATGATTCAATGCAATAAAATAAACAAATTTAAAAGGTGACTGATAATTGTAAACTTTTGGTTTATTTACGTAATGATTTTAATCGCTGGATGTCCAGCCCCTGAGCTGTTGGCTTTCAGAAACTGTGCCATCCCCCACCCCTGAGCAATTTTGCTGAATAGCCCTGGTAAAGGGAAATATTTGGAATTATTCCAGTGGAGAGTCTAAGAACAAAATTAAGTGACAATACTAAAAGTTTTAAGATCCTTTGGCGGTTCTTGATGGATTACCTGCCCAGTGATCTACGTTCTGACCTCCTGAAAGGAGAACTTGCGTTCGTCTGGAAGTAATAATACATAGTAA